TTTCGCTGTTGCAGGATGAAGTGATTTTACCAATGTGGAACAGGACATAACAAGTGGTAAAAAGTCAAGCCGATACAATTTATAATCTGCAGGAATTTAAATGAAAAGGCCAGGTCTGTTTCTTATTCTTAATTTTATAAAAGATGGAATGTTACAAATTTAACCAATATACATGTGTGTAATTAAAAAAACCTTACACCCACAAGCAGTGGCAGTGCAACAATAAATTATTCCAATGTGCTTTGTCACTTGGCTTTTATAAATTCAGAGATTCAGGGATCTTTGGATATCAGGCCAAATGTAAAAGATCTCTTTGATTATATTAATTTTTTTCAATATACCGTTCAATCCCCAACATCTTAAGCACTACTACATCTCCAAGATAATTAAAATTGTTCTTAGGTTTTATGTTTAAAATGTTGTATTTCCTTTATCAAAATTTGTGTCAAGATTTTAAAGGTGTATGTTTCAATGGGGTCATTTGTTTTCAAAGTTGTTAAATGTTTGGATGGACTGAAGCAAAAAACGGACCCTCCTTGGAAGTTCTTACACCTTTAATATTATATCTTAAGTCTTAAATATTTAGAGATATAGATTTTATTTTGTTAAATAACAGTAAAATAACAAACCTTGTGTGTCAATAGTTTGCATTTTGAGCTTAACTTTTTTTTTGTTCACTTTTCTGTCTGAAGCCAATCTTGTTATTATTATTATTTTGTTTACATTTTTTTTAATCAAAAAGTGAACATAAATACGGACATAACAGACAAAAACAAATAAGTATAAATAAAATAATAACTGAAGCTGATGCCTAAAATGCATGCATGTGAAAACTAGCGGTTGAACCAAAATGTTTTGAGAGAGATTTTATGACATAATTAAATTTGGTATGGTGTGAAAGTTAGGTACCCCTGCTTTAATTGCTTTAATGGCAGATAAAACCCCAGCACAATAGAGGCCTCTTTTAGTCACACATGCAGTTCCATTCGAAGCCCAGCCACCTGCCATTTCTCCCATGACTTCCGTCGATTATGACTCAACTTTGCAATTAACGGAGCGTGCAGCGACTTTGAAAAAATCTGTCCAACGACGTCCCCCGCTGGCTGGAGGAAACTCGACCGGAGACGGCCCCCACGGAGAGGCTGACCTGTGCTGACCCAGCCCAAGTTCAAAGTCACCCAACCACCATCTGAATGGAAGTACTCTTACACGATACACAGGAATGAACAGTGTGGTCTCAGGATTAAGAAGTGGACAAATATTGAAGGTCTAGAATAGGTTTTGGGCAAAAGAATACCTAAGGGATGTGAAATATGTGTTTTAATGCCGGTTTGGGAATCCTGCTATTATTCACACTTTTTTTTCATTCAAAAGTATGATTATTATTACTATTATTATCATAATTATTTACATTGCTAGGGTAATGTCTATATTGTTTTTTTCACAGAGCAGTGTGACACAATTTGGCAAAAAATATTTCATCATTCTGAAACCAATAAATTGCCTATATGTTCTGTATATCCATTGATTTTTGGCATTCAAAAATATTCAAAGGCCAAATCTATCAAATCCATAGTGTGGAATAGTAATACCCCCAATAACATTATTATTTATCTATTGGACTAATGACGCATCATTAGTCCAATCCCCACAAATGATCAACATATGCACTTGGTTGAGCATATGTTTTGATTGTAATATTTTTCACTGTAATGTAAGTATATGTTTTGATCATTCGTGGACGGCAATGCATGAAGTAGAACATACCAACCAGATCTAATAGCACTAAATGCAAGAGTACGATGCACTTAGGCTAACTTGTAAAAGAATTATCCTATCACACATTATTCATTGCAGGTATTATTCTATATCATCATCATTATCATTGTTTGGCACTGCTCTTTTAAATATAATAATACATACAGGAAGTCTCAACAAGTATCTTCTATGCGTTATGTGTGACTCCAGGCCCTTGGGAGAACCATTAGAAAAATCTCTTATTTTCCAACATGCTTTCAGTCACATTTTGGTCATGTCTATTCATAATAGACTGCTCTCCAAGGAAATCAATATACACAATACGAATCAATCATGTTATCTCCCTTTTTTAATATATGAATACAAAACCCAAGCATCTATGAATGTATGCTACACACATACAAAAGTGAAAACGAGGCATCTCAACCCAAACTGTCTTGTTAAAGTATAAGAATCTATAAATGTCCCGTATCCATCTGGTTGTATCAGGTGCATGTGTAAATACCAGGATTGCACTGACGTTAACTTTAAGGGGTGAGTGCACTTGGTTGAGGCCAGAAGCAGAGTTCACATTATACCGTCCCCAGAGGAGCTGTGTGTCTGGAGACGGGACCCCAGACCGTCCTGTCTGCCTCCAGGGCGACACAACTTAATTCAACTAAGATGTATACAATTATAGGAAAGTGTGTGCGGAAGTATTATAGAATGTCATGTAGGGGTTCGTGTTTGTGATGTTGAAAGCTAATAGCTGCCGATAAGTTGTAAAATTGTTTATTCACAGCCTGCACAAACATAATCTCACTCCATAATAATTTAAAATAAGTGTATTTTTGTTTAATGTTGTACTTTGTGTTCATGTTTTAATGCTAATGTTTTCTGTGTTGTTTTGGAAAGCTCTGTTTTGTGTGCTTCAACTTGCCTTGCCTCAAATAAAATTGAAAATCATTTAAAATATGATTGAAAGCCTTAGCTGGACTTGCATTTGTTTTGATTGTATAATATTTTTCACTGAATGTAATGCATGGTATAGTAAAGACCTAACTTATTCTGTTTGTATTAAATGCCAGAGCATGGTTGCTTATTTTGCTTATTATTTCTGTAAGTAAGACATCCATGTTATGATGGAAAAGATGATTAATTAACAGTTGTTAATTTGTCCAATACTCGATTCACAATGGATCATTTTAAACTATGAAAAAACAGCTGACTGTATTGTTAAAGAAGACATTGAACTTACGTGTATAACCACATGAATCAATGTTGCACACTGTCAAAAACAAAACCGTTTATCAAAATAACAATGTCTAGCAACAACATAATTAAAGTTAAAATAATGTAGAATAATAAATAGGGGGTGGGAGTTTAAAAGTCTAAACTGTAAACTTCCCACTCCTTGAGCAGGATTTTTGTTACTAAATACAAAACATACTGTATATCTGTATATTATCATGTATTTATTTTATTTTTTTCTATTCAGTTGTTGTTCTTTGTTCTTGTTTGCCATGGCTTGAAATAAAATATCAATTCATTCAACGTGTTCAAATCCATTTAAAACACTGAACTGTGCATACAACTGAAATGTAATGTATAGGCTTATCTGAATGCATATATGGTGATTACGGTATTTTTATTTTGTAAACCACTTTGAGTTGTTCTGTGCATTGTCTGCTCAAAGAAAATTGCCGTAATAATTCCTGCAGTAAAATAAATGAAATATTGCCATAATTCTAAGTGAGACATTATTCACTTGCCTATATCTAAAGTATATAATAACACATTTTGATAGGGGAAATCGTATTTTACTCATATCCAGATTGATATTTCAACTCATGGGCCTGTAACAAGAGCTGCATTGAAAAAGTAAAGAAAAAAGCACACACCAACGCTCAAAGTTCTCTATAAAAACAATCTTTTTGAGCTTGTGTTCTGCCACTTTGATCCGTAAAGGCCTGGTTTAGGGATCCAAGGGCCTTTTAGCACTGCTCATGGACTGTTAACAATATATTAACCAGGCTCCGTTATACCAGCACTCACCGGGGCCTGCGCTGAGGGGCGGGCCGCGCCTCATCCCCGGCCACACAGCCACAGACCCGCGCGCGTCTTGGTGCTAAGAACGCACCTGTACAAATGACGTCTCCCCTCCTCTGTTCAGTTTCATGAAGTAATTTGTAAGGCCAATATTGTATCCTAATGAACTAATCAATATTGTATCGTCAATGTTTTGTATGCATCTATTTATATGCTGTATGTATTTTTTTTCTTTAATACGAATGAAATTGACAATAGTCAATTTTAAAGTAATTTCTCGCTTTATTCATTATTAAACGTGTATCACTGAATAAAGTAGAACGTCTTTATGAAAATGAACAGTTTGTTTTAGTCTAAAAATGTGTTTATCCTATATTGAATGTTAAATATCTTAACGGCAGTAAGAAACAGTAAGGCAATAATACTATAGCCTGTCGAATAATCTTTTAGTAGTTCCTTGAAATGAACCCGTGTGCCCAATTACACACTCAAGTCAATGCAATGGTCACGGGATTTATTTTGAACACGTGTTGTTCGATAATAAATGTAAGAGAAAGGTGTGTGCTTTTTACGCATGCAGCAACAGCGTCAGTTCTGTGTAACATGTGCCGAGATTGGAATAGGCCAAAAGATGTTCAACAAATACGGGCTGAACGTCCGCTTCAGGCCTCATCCTGACACAGACCGCGAGTCCAGGCCATGATCATCACACGAATATTGTCTAAAGAGCTGCACATTAAAGGCCAAGTTTCGTAAATTGTGTCTAAACTCAAAGCCGTGGTTATATAGTCTACAAAATATATCCAGTGGTTTAAATTCTGGGGTGAAATAGGAGAATTTTGTAAAGATATACAGGGTGCGTAAAAAGAAAGGTTAAACAAAAGTCACTTGTGATAAACGCCAGTACAGGTTTCATATGACTCAAGCTCCACGCGTCTTGTGAATCTGGACCTGAAGCCCTGGACTCTGGAGGCTGCACGCGTTGTCCCGAGTGGGTGGGACAGGGAGGCCGTGCGCACCGCTGATTGGATACAAACTTTGGTGATTGACAGCTCTCTGGGGCTGTGCTCTGCTCGGGCTGTAGACACTGTGCAAAAGTGCTCGCAGCTCACGAGAAGAGGAGACGTGTCCGCCTGGGCTCATCTGCTGCTCCGTGGATTGGATTTTACGCACAAACTAAACTTCAGCGAAAGCAGCGCGACACTAGGGGAGAGATGGCAGAGAAGCGGCGCTCCCCGTGCGCGCTCAGCGTCAAGGCGCACGCTTTCTCTGTGGAGGCGCTGATCGGGGAGAAGAGACGGAGGAGCAGTGGGGAAGAGGCTCCGTCCCCGGGGCTGTGTGAGCTGAGCCCCGCGCCGAGAGCCTCCTGTGCCAGCGAGAGGAGCGAGGACTGCAGCGACGGCTCCCGTGAGTATCTGAGCCAGGACGTTAGATACTTTTTTCTCTTTTTTTATCTGGTGCACAAACCCGAGGCTGGAATGTTCTACTCTGATTTTTTTGTGTGCCTTTTTGCTGCATGTCTTACCCTATGTGCATCCGTGGAAGCCAATACATGTGCAAGGCATAACTATCTAAGTACTATATCTGTAAATCATAAAGCAGTGGCATCGAACATTAATCTCAGTTGTGGAAATGACAGTTTGTGTTTTTGCGAAGCTCTTTATGAGTTGTGTTGAATCATAAACACGCCAATTAGCAGCGTGTAAAGCAGCCCAGTGCAGGGATGACAGAAGATGCGGCTCTGTGACCTTCAGGCCTTGACAAATTACAGCCGAAATTGCAAATGTTTAAAACGCACGGGTTTGCCTTTTGTGCGGCTTCTGCCTCGTTAGGCCCACGTCTAATGTCCATAAATTTCCAAACGCTGTCGAGGCTTGTGTGGAGCAGAGCGGATAAGCACTTAAACGCTGCTATTAGAGGTTTGCATTTAATTTGCGCGAGACCAAAATAAACCTTTTACGGCTATTTTGACTTTATACGGTCAGTGGTATACGTATTTTTAAACGTGTGCGTAATATGTATGTAAAATGTGTATGTGTGTGTAGTTGTGTATTTGCAGGAATATAAACATTATGTGTATTCAAATGACTTCATTTCATAATAAACAAAATAGCCTCCCACATTTTTATGTATACGTTTTATTATTCGTCTCACACACAAATGCACCCTGTATAGCTTTGTGGATTGATCAGGCTTGTTTTTTTCATATTTCATTTTATTTGTTTATTTTCTTATGATGCAGCCGAGAGCGAGGACGTGTTGTTGGAGAGTCCACAGCCATCGCTTCCGTGCCCGGGTCCCGGGAGTGGGGCCGGTGGGGCTGAGGACGCGCGAGTGGATCTACAAGGCTCTGATCTGTGGAAACGGTTTCACGAGATTGGCACGGAAATGATTATTACCAAAGCAGGACGGTAAGTGTTTACGCTGAAATAGTAAAAAAAAAAAAAAAAAAAATATATATATATATATATATAAATATATATAAATATAAAATATATATATATATATATATATATTTAGGCTATTCTTCTTGCTATATCATTCTTCTTCAATATCATTATTATTATTATTATTATTACAGGAGGATGTTTCCAGCTATGCGCGTAAAAATCACAGGCTTGGATCCGCACCAGCAGTATTACATCGCTATGGACATAATCCCAGTGGACAACAAGCGCTATAGGTGAGTTTTAATTCTGGTTTAACAATTGTAATGTCCTTGTGCCTCGAGTCCACGGCAGCAGGAATGTGGCCCTAGCCCAGAGAGGTATTTTTAGCCCGTGCAAATTGCTGTTCCAAATGGCACTTTGGATTTACGCAGTCCATTGTCGCGCATGGTGTTTGGACGTGGCCTTTTGGAAGACAGCAGCAGGGTCACTGGTGGTTAATGTCATAAAAATGCAGTTACGAAAAAAAAATGGTCAGCTCTGTAACAGTTGCAACTTTAATTCAATTCTATTATCTCGTTCATATGTTATTCTGATAGGGCCCCGGAAGCGAAACGGCCCCCCAATGTAGCCAATATAAACAATAACAATACAAATACGCACACAAATATGTATATTTTTAAACAAATAGATAGGATTAAACTTTATTGTCGTAACCAAATCAGAACAATGAAACAAAATGCAGTTTAGTATCTAACCAGAAGTGCGATAGTGGCATAATTGATAAGACTTTTTTTTTCTTAATACGTATTGTATAGATTCTTGTATTACTATCAAACTTTCCGGTGCCATTAACCACATATTTGATATAATTTCCATTGATTGTAACTTGTATATCAGTCTATAAATAAAATACTGTTTTTTCAGTATTGTGTAAAATGAAAAAAAAAATGCCTTTTGAAAATTCAGAAGATACAGCCTCGTAAATGGTTTTGTTAAATTACAGATTACAAACATTTATTTAAAAATGCAGTCATATAGTGCCAGGTCACTTTTGAAAGACAAAAATAATAGTATTGAATATCAAAGGGGTTTTAATCTGAGTAAATGCAGGTAAAATAAAGACATATTATTCAATGTAATTCACCCTCATTACATTCCCACACATATCAAGCACGTTTTTTTTAAGCTTGATTTGGAAAAGTACAAATTCATATCAATACAGTTTTGCACTTGAAAACAAAAAAATGTAAGATTTTTTTTAATGTTCTGTATTCTATCTCCCTGTGGATTAACCTGGCAGCTGCATGTGTCGTGTGCAGGTATGTGTACCACAGCTCGAAGTGGATGGTAGCCGGTAATGCAGACTCTCCGGTTCCTCCGAGGGTCTACATCCATCCGGACTCCCCCGCCTCCGGAGAGACCTGGATGAGACAAGTGGTCAGCTTCGACAAACTCAAACTGACCAACAATGAGCTGGACGACCAAGGACATGTAAGAGACCCTTTTGTTTATTAGAGGAGGATCAATGCTTTAGTAAAAAAAAATAAAAAAAAAATAGACAAAATGAGAAATATGTGTCACGTTTTTACATTTTTTAGGTTCAATTTGAATTTCTGGTAGTAAAATGATGATGTCACACTATTACTATGACTGTTTTCTCATTTTCTCAACCAAAGCAATACAAGCATTCTCAAAACTCTGCTGAGGTTCTGTGCAAAATGATTATGTTCGTGATCCGTCATTCCACGGTTATATTTCTAAACACTGTTAGTTCCGCTTCATAAAATCTTTTGAATGACCCATTATAGATTGATATATAAATGCATAAGGACATGCTAAGGCTTGAGATTTTTTTTCATAGTTATACAATTTTCTTTTTATCTGAAAACTGTTGAAATAAGCTGCATGCAATTGTGCTGCGGCCTTAATTTTCCATACTGTAAAATATGTGACACAGCTTTGTTAGAACACGTAATAACTTAAAAATGACAAAACAAGTGGATTAAACTGATATTACTGAAACCTACTAAAGAGAAAGAATGCATTTTTAATAGTAATCAACAATTAAAGCAGGGGTACCTAACGCTAAAACAACACGAATGGAACTAATCAATAACATCCAATCCAATCCACATTTTATAAAACAAGCTTCCAAAGTTCTGCACAGAGATAAAATCAACACGTTTAAATATGCACAAAGTAAAAACAATGCAAATGTAATAAAAACAATAAAATACCAGTTATACCAACTATAAACATGTGATAAAAACGATAAAATACTAGCTAACATGTTGAATATAACAGCCTGGTTCGAGTCTAGTTTTCTTCAAACAAAATGTATTATTTATTGAAACACGTTAGGTATCCCAGCTTTAAAATCAAAATATTAAATGTGTAATGTGTATGAATGTGGATTATTATTATTACAGTAAGCAGAAACACAAATAAATATATTTTTAAGTCACCCAATCTTGCTGTTGCTGGTTTAAAATCTCTCAAATCTCCGTTGCTTTGATTGACAGATCATTCTCCACTCGATGCACAAGTACCAGCCGCGGGTCCATGTGATCCGGAAGGAGTGTGGAGAGGAGCTGTCCCCGGTCAGAGCTATTCCCAGCGGAGAGGGAACGCGCACTTTCTCCTTTCCCGAAACCGTGTTCACCACCGTCACCGCCTATCAGAACCAGCAGGTACATAATCCAGCAGAATCCACCAGAGCACACCCCACCATGAGACCAAAAACACACACATGGAAAAGCGGCGTGGAACATTGTGGATGAAGGATGGGGGCTGTTGCCGTTAGTGATTGATAATAATTTAAACATGTCCAGGGATGAAAACATGGTGGGATTGGCTGTTGATTCTATACTGGTGGTAAAGCTGGTATTGGGATTGAGTCTCATTCCCACACACATGGGTCCGTCTGGTGTGTCAGAACGACTTGATATTCAACCCGCCTTGTGACAGTGTATTTTTGCCGAGGCGTGTTCATTGTGCACACTCTGACCAAATATTCCTGTAATTCAGACCAATTACTTAAAACCAAACCGTTTTGTTGGCCGTTGCTTACATGTGGTTCAGGTGAAGATGGTTATAAAACTACACACAAGTCACATGTGGGACGATACTTTGCAAAATGACAAAAAAAAATCTCTTTCCATCAAAGTCTGGGCTTTTGCTCGCACTGCTCTGTCCTTTATCCATATTTATTTATTCTTTTCTTTTTTTTTTTACCTCAACCAGAAAAGTCCCACTGAGATTTCAGTATCTCTTTTTCAGGGGAGTTCTAGGCCTAGTGGTCAGCTTTTGTACATGTTGTTTGTAGTAGGGGAAACCGAAGCATCCGGAGGAAACCCGCTCAGAAACGGGGAGAACAGGCAAACTCCACACAGAAAGGTCCTGTCTGGAGATGTAATCGGATGGAATCGAATCCAGAACCCACGTGCTTAGAAACAGCAGCGCTAACCACTCAGCCACTGTGCCGCCCATACATTTTTCCTTCATGTTTGAAAATGTCAGTATTGCTCCCCGTGGATGAGAAACTTGCTGTTGTCCGTTATGATGTCCCTGGGGTCCGGGTTGCACGGCACGGTGAATTTAGAAAACGTATTTTAAAAGGCGGAATTCAAACGACATGAAAAGCCAACACAGGTCCAAACAACACGCCAACCATTCCTACTGTCCCCGTGTCGACAACAAATCTATCCATTCTTTCTTCTGGAAAGTTCTGTAATTACATTGGGGCCCATTTTTAAATAAGTTGTAGTATGCTGTAGTATGATTTCTTTGTACGTATTTTACTTTGACCTTCTTGCTTCGGCTTGAAACAGGATTTAAATGTAGAGATTTTCCCGATTACGCAATGTCACAAAAAATGTAAAAGTCCCGGACGAGCACGAGTCCTGATCTCGGCATTCTCCACATGGAAGTGCCACATATCCATGAGAGGGGCGAGCGAGGGGCTTTGCTTTGATGACGTATAAAGCTGTGAAAGTATTGTCTTACTACTTTAATATCGATAAATACAATGCAAATAAAATACAAATAACAATAATTTAAAGCACATACACACATTTACAGTGGTATGCAAATTATTATTATTACTATTATTCTGATTTTCCTTTATAAATCAGTGCTTATTTGGATAAGACTTTTCAGTTAAACGTATCGTATAGGAGACAAACACTGGGATATTTGAGGAGTGGTGTGTGTGTGAATGTTGGTGGTGGTCAGAGGGGCCGATGGCACATACTGGTTTCCTGGCTTCTGTCAGTGTGCCCCAGGGCAGCTGTGGCTACCGTAGTTTGTCACCACCATGTATGGAGTGAAAGAATAATGACAAAAAGTGCTATATAAAACAGTAATATTATTATCATTATTAAGTGAAATAAAGTTTGTATTGTTAACAGAAAGTGTGCAAGAATTATTTTAACCAAAATAGGCATGTGCATAAATGTAAGCACCCTATAAAAAATTATTTCAATAAATTTAGCACTATCTATTTTAACTCAAAATTGGTTTTGTAACCTCAGTGACCCTCGACCTCCATGCACAGGCCAATCCAATCATGATAAAATGTTTCCCCTCTTTGCATCTTATCTTTTCTGGTCTGTGAAAGGCGCTATATTATTAAACATTGCTTACTTACTTACTACTACGTTTACTCTTTAGCACATGGGAGGCTCAAAACAACTCTCAAATGACCTGAAAACAAAGATTGTTCAACATCATAGTTTTAGGGAAAGGACAGATATACCACTGTATTTTAATTTCATACTATCATCATGTCCGGTAAATTATCAGACAGGTTTTATACCACATTAGACTTGACGGACCACAGTGGCACTGCACGGCTTGTTAGCGACCAGAGTGGTAGCGCCTATAAAAGTCCTTTCAGATTTGGGTCACAGAAAGACGCCCCTAAACACCACTCACTCGTCTGAGACACACCTCGTAGCACTGCACACTGCACACTGCCCACACACACACACACACACACACACACACACACACACACACACACACACACACAGTAAAGCAATATTAAACTGAGCTGGGGCAACGACATAATCACCTAATATAGAGGCATATTTGTGAGTAAAAGTCATTATTAATAGCTAAATGATTCACGGGGAGAGTGATTATGCCGCCATATAACGTGCTCTGTTTTGCTTCACAGATCACACGTTTGAAAATTGACAGGAATCCGTTCGCCAAAGGCTTCAGAGACTCTGGCAGGAACCGGTGAGTGTGACGCTATACAACCACACACATTTTCACATTAAAAAGCTTTACTGGTTTTGGCTTTTTTGGTGCAGCCATTTCGGTGCGACTATGTGCAAGAGCCAAGTGGCAGAGAGTTGTATTGATGTAATTGAAGAAAAAGATTTAAGGGTTTAAGCTGTTTATATTCACACATATATTCACACACAAAAAGACAGAGAGTTCGTGTTTGAAGTAGGTATAGGGCGGGCATGTCAAACTGAGGCCCGTGGGCCAAATCCGGCCGGCTGGACTATTGTTAGTGGCTCCTGATATGATTTTCAATCTTCATTATTACTGTAACTTGCAACATTGATGATACTGGAGTACTATGGCCAGAAGTAAAGTTAGGTTAAAAAAAACATTATATTTAACGATGTATTTTCAATTACATCTTTTTTGATATTTGTCCCTAAACCTACTGGAAAATTCTTTCCGAACTAATGTCAAATAAAATGAATTTGTCAAAGTACAAATATGTGTCAAAACAAAAAAGTGTCATAATAAAAGTAAACCACTTTTATACTTTTGGCCTCAACCAGCTCTCATGTTTTTAAACTTGGCCCACAACCAAGATGAGTTTGACACCCCTGAGGTAGGTGAATTTAAAGCTGGGGTACCTAACTTTCAAACACTTGAACAATAATAAACTCTTTGTTGGGACTAAAAATGAATAAATTGAAGTTAGGTTTCCCAAATATGAAAAACGCAATTCTTTCTCACTTGGTAAAAGAAAATAAATTGCAGTGTGCTTGACAAAAAACTAGTTGCCAAATATTCTCACATAGTAGGGCTGTACTCCACCAAGGAAATTCTTGATCGATTTAAAGACCTCCCGGGTTGATCAATTATTATAAAGGCAAAATAATTACAATCATGTGTCTGACTCTTCACAAAAAAGCAACGAGAAAACCATGCTTTTGTGGATGAAAACATGATATTAAGATTTTCTCTCAATTACAACCGAAATAAATCCCAAATATTGACATTTTTTCCGAATCTAAAAAAAGTTTTTATTCCTTTTTTAATTTTTATTGAAACAAATCCTTACAAATTGGATTAAAAACGATCGACTATAGGACTCTATTGAAGGATTAATCGACTGAACAACCACGCTACCAAAACAAGTTCAATTTTGCAAGCAATTATGAATTTACATTTTGTCATTTTTTTCAGGCATTGTATCGTCTTAATTAGCAATTTTTATCCTGTAATTGTGTGGCCTTTAAAACTAGCCCAGGCAGTTCACAGGCAGAGCAGAGGAGGAGTAAAAAAAATAAGTCCACCGACCTAAAACTACAAACTTAAATGGAGCACGGAGATTCCAGCGGCCTGGGGACATAAACATCAACAGCAAAATAATAAAACTCAAGACTGTCATGAAGAAATTTTGTCTAAACACATTTGGAAACATATATAAACAGCGTATTAAAATAACAGAGCAGTTAAACCACAGCGGTCTGCAAACAGCTCTCCCCCCAGGCCCCACACAAGCCATTAGCAGAGCAGGGAGGAATGCACTGCAAAAACGACATCTTTGGGAGTTAAAACCAACATATTGGCTTCATTTGAGATTTGGTTTCTAATTTGGGCCGCATGCAATTTGTTATCTAATGATGAATTGTTGTTTTTCTTCGTTTAAAGCTGGAGGAACCGACATTTTTAAGTTTATATAAATAATAAGTGAACCGAAAGCAACAAAAGTAAAATGTTTTGAACCATTCAGACTACAATATGATGTTAAAAAAAGTTATAGTCACGGTGGCAAAAGGAAAAAAAAAACACGAAACGCAGAACTGTAAAAATAATGTCAAGTAACACAAGCCAGTGAAAACACAAAAAGTAACCAAACTTAAATCAAAGAACAAAAACAGACAAAGAATGACAATGACAGAACAAGGAGTGAAGGAATACACTGGGCTTAAATACACTGATGATTAACGAGACACAGGTGCATGGGGCAGGTAATCAGGAACAGGAAGTACAACTAAAGAGGACACAGGGAAAAACAGGAAATAGACCTAAAACCGACAGTCATTTCATATTTTGCATACTTAAAAAAAAAAAGCCCAGTGAGTCACTATTTGATGCTTTGGGTTATGAGTAGGGATCCACCGATACCACTTTTTTCAAAACCGATACAAATTTGAGTACTTGCCGATACCGATTACCTATACGAGTACTGCATTGTGTTATCCTGGGAATTTATAAAACTGAAATTTACGATGTTTTATTTCTCATTTCAACAATGAGAAATGTTTAACAATGAAACAGTCAACAATAAGAGCCACTGTCATATTCCACTCATCCAAATGGTACAACGATATAGCTGCGGTGCTAGCATAGGTGTTATACTCATAGATCCATGCATACTCCGTGTGGAGGTCGTGGTGGTGAGTTTTCAGATGTTTCATGAAGTTGCTGGTTTTAAACTGTACATGTTTGTTTTGGACCCACCTTGTGACAGTTCTGCCTTACACAACATACAGTCCACTTAAAAAAACTTTCATACGGCTGTCCGTTTGCAGCTAGCTTGCGTGCCGCTAGCTTGCTTTCTCACTGCCAATTTTGGGAGGTCACCATGGCAAAACGGGTGTCGTGAAGCTAATATAAATAAAAAATGTGGGTATTGCTTGCGGCATTAGGTGATATGAGTACGAGTATGAGTACAAGCCTATGGTATCGACCCGATACCAGTATTGGTATCGTTGCATTCCTATAGCTATGAGTTGATTGGCTGAGTAAGGGAAGTCCTCTTTTTTGACTTTTTTGTTTAAAAATCTGATTGAAACAGAGGCTAAAGAATGCCTCTGTTACATGTTTCGAACAGTGTGTGACGGTTTTGAGAGCTGTAACTATAGGTAATGACATAGATCCATATTTTGTAGTTTTAAAGTTAGGTACCCTATAGTTCACTAAAATTGCACCAGCTATTTTACTAGTACTTGAAATGGAGTATTAACTATTTTTCACTAACAAACAATATTCGTTCTGACACCCTTTTTGCAGTGTGTGAGAGAATGAAAGGAGCCAGGTTAAAGGGGGCGGGTCTTCCAACACCGGGGTTTGACTTAACCTATAAAACGTGAAACTCGGGAAACCCCCAAAAGCCTGGCCCTAAACGTTACAGGAAGAGTTAAACAGTTTGCTAAATAAACTGCGCTCTGGTAGGCTCGCCCGTGGCTTCGCTCTGGGCAGCTTGTCTGAATTATCGCCGTGGCTACAACCCGGCGGGGGGCAGGACTTTTATCCCCTCACTAACGAGAGGCCGCATTACCTCCTCTCAGCCTGCAGGGGGAGGGGCAGAGCAGTCCCACCACCTCGTAAATCCAGGCTTCCTGCTCCTGGACTCACAATGTGCCTGTAAAAAATCAGCGTGTGAAAGCAATTACCAGCCAGGCAGCGCTGGCCAATCGGTGCCCTTCTTTACCTGCTGGTCTCCATGGTGAGGGAGAGTAGAGACCCCTCCCCCATGTGCCAGGCAAGATGGCTGTCAGGTGGTCAGAAACAGGGAAAAGATTGTGTTCGTGTTTTAGTATCTCAGTTTCTCCATGGGAAATTCGTTTTTTTTAAAAATATATATATATATATATAAATGTTTAAATAAAAACATATTTGATGGATTGAATTGACAAACCTGAGTCAAAGTCATTTCTACTGGTCAATAACATGCATATATTTCTGAACATTGTCACCGTTCCTAGACTGTTGTTTGCATTTATATAGTGAATCCATGAAACCTATAGCTTAACTTCACTGCTGTGTTTTTCAGGATGGGTCTGGAGGCTTTGGTCGAATCCTATGCTTTCTGGCGTCCATCTTTACGAACACTCACATTTGAGGACATCCCAGGCATGGCCAAACAAGGTATGGAAATATTGTACCAGTATTTATTGACAAATAAAAGTGGAATCCGAGACAATTTATATAGTGATTTTACACACATAACCAAACCCTGTCCACCTGGGTAAGGTTTCAAATTGTCACAGATACTATTGTAACAAATCAGTGTTCAGTATTGATAAAGTTGCATACAGGGTCGTTAACATGAAGTTTGAAAAATTGAGAGAGTGAGAAAGAACGCATTCTTAAGGTAGGTCGAAGTGGACAAAAAGAGAATTGGATATCTCACCAAAATTAAATGGATTGAGCAGTATAAAACCGTGCTGGCCGATTGAGTTGTGAAAGGCCAGTCTCTTAAATGCTGAAAGGCTACTGCACCTTTTCTAATCCATCATGAAACCACATAAAGCTGATACTACTGCCAAGATGAGCAGATGCATTTAAGAGCACAGTGAAAAGCCACTCTCATATTCTAAATGCTAAACTAACATAGATTCCCTGCTTCATTTGCAGGAGTCCCGGGCGCTCACGGAGGAATGGTGCCCACCTCGCCCTGCTCTTCCCCCTTCCAGGTGTGCCCACTCAGCCCGCCCGACTACACACGGCCAGCACACCCTCTCCATCGCTACGGTAACGGCCCAGACCCCTTTCAGTCTCCGCGGGGCCCTTCGGCTTTCGACGCGGAAGGCTACTGCTCTTTGCCCCTTCCCACGTCACAGCTCGGATACCTGTCCAACCCCTCCCCCCAGAGCTACGCCAGTCTCCGCCTGCACAGCCCGCCCTACGGCCTCTACGGCTACACGTTCCCGCCCTCGCCGCGTTTAGCTGCCAGTCCAGACAAAATGGCGGCTGCGACAGTCAACCACCCGAGTTTCATGGGCTCGTCTCCCAGCGGCACCCTGACGGACAGTATCAGCGTGTTGAGTGCGGGACAGCAGGGCTTTCTCTTTGACTCACGGACTTTGGGGCTGGCCACGAGTCCAGGAGGGGCGGGGTCTCAGGTCACAGCCCACATGAGCTGAGCTGGGCCATGTTAAAGGACTCGTATTATGGAGATCAGACACTTTTTGAACTGTTGATACACAGCATAAACTGATTACATATACACATGTACACCCCCAGGCATAGGTTTTGGTTATTATATTTTAGCCATATTCCTGGGATTATGAATGATAGTGCAAACATCCCCCAGATTTTGTGGTTATGAATGAGGTTTTTTCTCCTCTCTGATGACAAAACTGCCTCATTCTTCTCCAGTTGCAGTAAATTCCTGGCCTAATATCTTGCATGAACTACACATTTGAGAAAAAAAAGTCTTGTGTTATCATTCATAATCTTTGGAAAATGGACACACACAAAACATCAACATTGCGGCCTGGATTTCAAAAACAAAATGAATAATACAGGATTGATTTCGGCAGAGTAAGGCAAGTTAGTTTGTTCGGCAGAATTTATCCATTCATGGGAATCCAATGTGATTTTACAAAACAAGAAAATAATTAGATGCAGAGTTTGGCATTGTCCCTCTCCCTCATCCGAATCAGAACTGTTATTTATAGCCTCAGATAAGCTTACAGCATTTCAGAATTCCTTGGCACCAAAGAGTTCCCTCACATAACGCCACTGTTGAATCTGGTCGACAGATAGCACTCATCAATACCTTTCAGTTTTGTTTTTCTCATGTTTTTTTGAGAATGTCTCGAAGGAGTCGAGGAGTCTTAACGCCGCACAGACACGATTTCATACGACATGGAAAAGCAACGGTGCCAGCAATCATGTTCACGCGCCAAAAATAAACCAAATGAAGCGTATTAGCTGTCCTTTTATACAGCGTGTGCACCAAGAGACATCGTGGACAACAAATTTAGACTTTTAACCATATGGAAAAATGCAGGATTTGAGAGAGTGGTTGACCCCAGCCTGGAAATCCAAATTATTATTATTATTTTTTTTTCACTTTAATGGGGTCAGATGGACAGAGAATGGCTTCATGAGTGATTGTTTATTGTTAGTATTTGTATCGTTTAAGACATGTTGTTTGAGGGCTGTGTGAGCCTTGGCACTTACAAACTCAATGCACCTGCTTGTGTCTACAGGCCTATTATTATGAGAGACTTCAGACGCTTCCACTCCATGAGATTTTGTCTTGTCCTATGTTGAACCAAAGCGGATTTTTTTGTACTTAAATTGAAGAGAAAAACTCTTTAAATGTACTTACAAGATTTATTTAATGTCAACATTTCTTTCTTAAATTAATGTTGATCTGTTGAGCCAAAATCTATAATCTATGCCTTTTACTGTTTCTGTTATGTAATCACAGCATCCTTAATTTAATTGAATAAATGTTGTTTAATATTGCTTGATTTTACAAAATTATGTTTTAAACATTTCCCCAAATCTTATATGTGAGTGTGAAAACAAAACAGTATTGGTGTGAAAGCCTGTATGATAAAATACAGATAAAATGTTCATTTTTATATTATTTACCGTTTTTGGATTATTTGATCCATATTACTATGTATAGCAGGCATGTCAAAGTCAAATACATCAGAGGGCCAAAAAAACAAATTTGCTGCGAGCCGAGGGCCGGACTGGTTCAATGTTTATTCTTCTGAAATTCTTCAGAAATAGGCTGGCAGGCAATGAGTTAACTCATTGCCTGCCAGGCTGCCTATTTCAGAACAGGTGCTCCCATATTGCCAGCAGTTTCTGATGATTTTTTTAGATTTTTCAAGACCCACAGCATATTGTGTACTATGACTATCTGAAATCCGAAACCAGATTCTGAAAGAATAGACTGTCTACTTTCATCAGCAAAACGAATTTTGTTTCTTGCTTGTAATCCCCAGTTGAGTAGAGGGAAGTTTTACTGAAATCACCAAAAAGCTGAGAAAAAAGAGGCACAACAAGTGCATCTAGCTGTTTTCAAACCATTCAGAGAGCGCTGCTGCCACCTGCTGGCTCGATTCAATATGCTCTCAAGCTTATCCCCAAACATATTAGATATAATAGACATCTGGGAACATGAAAATAGCGGAAAACGCAATTGACGTAATGGTGCGTCAATGGCAGGCAACGGGCCATGTAAAATTCATTCGCGGGCCGGATTTGGCCCGCGGGCCTTGACTTTGACACATGTGATGTATAGGTTACGGCTGGGTAACTTTCAGAGCCTGCAGGTACGACATGTGTCTCGATATGCACAACACAATACGATACACATCTAAGTACAGAAATAATATATATTTCTAAGCAATACAATACAATGCAACACTATTGATGCATTCATATAAAAATGCATGTCTGTTACTTGTCAAACTGTGAAGAGAGAGAGAAACCTTTTCAAAACAAGCACTGAACCCGCCCAGACTCACCCCACAAGAATGGGAAAGAATCGGAAAATAAACAGTATTACTGAATACAAAATATTGTATCTAACTTTTTAACACACCCTAGTAGTATGTAGGTATAGTCAATTCTTTTTCATTAGACAAAACAATCATACACAATTAAGACAAAAAGCTACAATTGACAATGTATTGTGTTTACAAGATGCATGCTTTTTTTTTTCAATTTACGAATCACATGAAGAACCACAGTTCTCGCAATTTGCTGATTTGCTTACAACTATTAATTTCCATTATTGATTGAAATACTTGTTGCTGCCCCAATTAAAATGTAACTGCAATTGATCACAGCACAGTACTAAACCTAAGACTAGTGTTATCCCCAAAATCTCTCTCTCTCTCTCTGCTTGTCCTGCTCAGTTGTCCGCTGTCAGTCTGAAGGTGAGATGTGCTGACGAGAGCAGCACATGTGGGAGGGGGTGCACGCTCTTATTTTAGAAGCAGGAATGATTGGCTTGTTGCTGCTGAGTGACACTTGCCTGATGAGTCCCTACCACACACAAAGCCAATGCGGCCAATGCAGAAGCTTACAAGGTTACGATTTGACTTTTAGCGTCAAGATAAAGTCAAAGTAAAACAGCGTTGGTGGGTATTTTGGGTAATATACGTGGGTGGAATTTGCCGCGCGGCAGTGAGGGGTGTGTGTGTGTGTGTGTGTGTGTGTGTGGCACTTTAAGGAAACTATAACAACTATCCCAGACACCCATCTGAACGTAAATATTAAGTTTGTTGCAGGTTTAAAAAATTATGCATCTAACTTTTAAAATCTTTAATTCTGCTTTTTCCTCTAAGGCCTAAATTGACTTAAAAATGATTTGCAAATTCCTAAACCAGGTGATAATAACTTAAAATTGTCTGCTTTTTTCCAAGTAAGTTCTTCTCTTATGTTTTTAAAGCGGGAGAATAATGAGAAACAAGAACTTTTCTTATTTTTTTTTTTTTTACCATTTCCAATACAATTACCAATCCAATTTGTTTTGTAATGCATGCTTGCGTATCCTGTGTGGTCCTAAATTCACGGCTTAAAAAGTCCTCTACAATTCTGTCATACTATGCAATTTATATATATATTTTTACAATTATAATAAAGCGTTGCCTTTTTTTAAACATCGGCCCATGCTCTATCAATGTTAGAGTTGCAAATTCCATAAACATTATCCATCCATCCTCTTTTGCTTTATACAGAAGCAGTGGCAGAACTAACCAGGCCTCCCTGCACAAAAATATTACATCTTCTTTAAGCACACAAAATAACTTTCTCATAAACCGCCTAATAGAGTCTTGGTCGGCCATGTTGCCTCGACACCACACCACCGCGACCATCTGCTGCTGTCTTCTCCTGCAGTCTGTTTTGAGGCTGGGTGTTTTAACATGTCATCACCCACGAGCTCAGAGTAACACGAATCACTGTTTGGTGTATCGGGCCGACTAATAGCTATTATTATCTAAAGCAGAGTATGTTGATTTATTGTTAACATCAGATGGACATAAATACACACTTAAGTAGAGAGGCCAGGCATCTCATGGTGACACTGGAGACTCATTTCAACTGAGAGAAGTCCAATCAAAGAACCACAATGCCACTGCATTAAGACAGAGGATCAAAGACATTTATTATACAAAAGAAGAAAGACATTTATTCTGCAAAACAAGAGGGACATTGTCGCTCAAATGTCCCATTTGTTTTATATTCAGAGAGACAGGAAGTGAGCTGCTAATGTGAAAAAAGTAATAACGAGGCTCTTGAATTTTGTTATTTTTATTTTTTGCTCATGGTTTTTTAAGACCGAACGAGGTGCATGAGGATTTGAGGAGTATTCGATTGCAGTCATTTATTCAATTTAAATTCAGTTTATTCTTGTATCGCCCTAAATCACAACAGTATTATCGCGGAGAACTTTGTACAACCGTTGAATTCGCCTACACAGCTCAAAGAATCAAACCGTCCAAACACAAGAAATGCAATAATAGAAAACACGTTGATATTGGTCCATAAGGGGGAAAGTGACAAATGTCCATAAATGTTGAGAAATGTTCATTAAAAAAAAGTTGTGGTGTGCATTTGACCCATTTGTCCCTCAAGAACCCTTACCCAGATTCTGAACTGCAAGTCTGGACACAAGAATAGTGTATAGTGCATTAAGTACAATGGATACATATTGGTCTTCAAATTAATATAATATTGGTAAAGCTAATAGGCAAAATGGGACTTTAAAGTGTGGCAGACAGTGGGGCAGATAACCATGAAGCGTTGCCACAAGACCACCTGCCGGGATTTTTACCTCCAGCTCAAAACAATACACAAAGCATTTAAAATGTTAAGTATATACTATATTGTGTAGATAAGTTATCAAAAGTATAACAACATGGACATGGAGTAAAAGGTTGTGTCCATGTTGCAGACTTATTATTTCAGCCGGAGGATTCAACTGTATGAAATTTAAAATATGAAATTTTGAAGAAAAAAAAAATGCCCCGTTCTTTATTTGATATTGTATTAGATTCACAAACCTGCCATGTTTTACTTATGTCTGAATGACCTTTCTACTGGCCAGCATCATGCATGTTTATTGTAATTTTGTCACCACTTATTGGTATCTTTATGAGAATGATAA